GCCCATATGTCCATTCAATGAACCTGTGGGCCCGATCCCCTGGCGGTGGGGGAAAAGGCCAATAAGCAGGCCCTTGGGTCGTCGGAGTGTCTGATTGGGACCGATTATTGTCAGGCCCTGGGGACCAATTGTCAGGCCCTTGGGACCAATTGTCAGGCCCTGGGGACAAATTGTCAGGCCCTTGGGACCAATTGTCAGGCCCGTGGGACCAATTGTCAGGTTCTTGGTGCCATTTGTCAGGTTCTTGGGACCATTGGTCATGCCCTTGAGGCCATTCGCCACTGTGCCATTCGTCATGCCCTTCGGACCAATTGTCTTGGGACCATGCACCTTGCGACCATGTACCAGTGCCACCATCACGGGGTACAAAGAAGCCTCCATGGTCAGTCGCCTGAGGTTTCGACAATGCTTGTCATCATCATCAAACTTTGCTTAGGGGCTAACATGTCACCCAAAGAGATGTGAGAGGCTGTTGAACTCTATTTCTGCCAAGTCTCAAAAGGCTGAGTTCTCCGCCATGGGTACTGGGCAGGATCTCCATAATGCTCCCAGCCCCACTGCTGACGATGATCCTGGTTGTAGTAAGAACCTGCTCAATGAGACATGGCCATGAACATCAATGACTGGCACCTTTAAATAAATAAGAAATGAACAACAGCCATGATCATTGTCATTCAAGTCACTCTTCTGGCCAGATTGTCCCCATTCGCCCCATTCATCGTCGTCGTCTTCCTCACCGGGCTCAAAGTCTTCAACGTCATGCCATGAAGCCTTCCCCTTGCCACCATCCTTCCCCTTGCCGCCTTCTGATTCTTCATGGTCCGTTCCCTTGGCTTTAGACTTGCCCTTGAAGTCATCCGTTCCCTTGGCTTTAGACTTGCCCTTGAAGTCATCCTTCCCCTTCTGGAGGTCATCCTTCCCCTTCTGGAAGTCATCCTTCCCCTTCCCCTTCTGGAAGTCATCCTTCCCCTTCTGAAAGTCATCCTTCCCCTTCCCCTTCTGGAAGTCAACCTTCCCCATCTCCTTGCCACCATCCTTCCCCTTCTGGAAGTCATCCATCGCCTTGCCTTTGCCCTTTGAGTCAAACTCAAAACCAGGCTTGCCCTTTCCGTCTTCTTCATAGTCCGTTTCCTTGCCCTTTCCCTTAGGTGCAGCCTTACCCTTGAAGTCGTCCTTCCCCTTCTGGAAATCCTCCTTCCCCTGCCCCTTCATGCCCTTGAAGTCATCCTTGCTTTTGCCCTTTGAGTCAAGCTCATGCTTGCCCTTAGGTGCAGCCTTGCCCTTGGTGTCTGGGCTATCCCCCCCCTTGCCCTTGGCCTTTGGGGTATCTCCCTCCGCATTGCCAGCCTTTCCTCCGTCCTTGATGTCAGTGTCAGGCTTGGTCTGAGCCGCCGTTTCTTCGGATTCCGGAATCATACCATCTGCAGGCGATGTTGGTGACACAATTTGAGGCCTCTCTTCTGGCAGGTCAGGCTCCTCCTCCTCCTGCTCCTCGCACGGAGCCGGCTCAGCCTGGTCAGGCTTTTCTTGATCGCCCTGATTCTCCCAAGCAGAAGCCTCCCACGCCGAGGAGGGTTGCTCTTGTTGTTCTTCCGCAGCTGCTGTGGGAGAGGGAGAGTACTCGTCAGGCGGGACCTTGAACGCCACTCTTTGTGTCTTGGTCGGGGCTTCCTGCCGACAGTCATGCTCACTCTGACTCTCCAATGAAGGCAAAGGTGGTGGGCTGTGAAGCACATGGTCAGACCGGGCATGCCAGGGATGCATAACTTCAAAGACAAATGTTCCTCTCAGTTTTGGAGGGGTGGCACGCAAAGGAGCCTTGGGATACTTTTTGATGCAACGACCGAAGTCAGGCATCACCACCAAGGGCCCGCCGCCATCAGACACCAACCACCAATTCGAAAAAAACTCTTCACTAGGCGGTTGTCTGGGGTCAGTCGGCGTCGGCTCAGGGTCAGTCGGCATTGACTGCTGTTGAGGCACAGGTTCAGCTGCTGCTGCAGAAGCGCCAGGCCCGTCAGACCCGTCAGGCGGAGGCTGCCTGCGGCGCTTGGAGCCCGAGCCCCTGCGGTCATTCCTCGTCATGTAGTCAGGCACTGCTCCATAAGTCTTCTCCTTGCAACCTTAAGCAGCACGCTGACTCTGACAATTTGTCAGCTTGATTTTTATAATTAATGGTTTTATCAATCATATCACACATATTTGAAGTGAAGACAAAGCAATAATGTCAAAAGTGAACATTAAATTAAGCCGAGCAGCGCATGCGATACTCGTCACACCTTTCCCGGCAAAACTTAGCAATGACTCTGCTGGGGTTTTGCCACACCTGCTTTGTCCCCTTGCCGCCACTCCTCCCCATCACCTCTCCTTAGAGTTGAGCGACAATGCCAGTCAATGTAGCTGATTGGGCTAAAAAGCATCATCATAAGTCTGACTAAAACAATAACTAAGTTTGTGAGGGCCAACCTCATGTCAGGCCAAGAAACTGAGAATGACAGGCACTTCCGCGCGGGCGCTAGCCAGGCTGAGATCATCCAAATGCATGACGGAATACATGGCCTGAGATGAACTTAAGTCCAACCGACAATCAGAGTCAGTAAATGACTAATCAAATTATTGACACATTTAAATTAAAAACAACTTAAAATAAGAAAATGTTCCAAATGCTGCAAATTGTCAGTCCATGCAAAGTAATCAACTTTCAACTGTTGCAAAGCCACATAGATGTCAGGCGCCACTGTTTTGATGGTGTTAGCCATTATGGTCATTGACACCTTAACAGTCAAGCAGTCAGTCAAGGAGTGAGCCATCAAGCAACGAAAAACTTTGAGTGACAAAAATAAAAATCTTCATTATTGAAACATGGGCCCAGGCGCGTCCGCCTCCTCCTTGTCAAACTCTGGGACCTCATCCTCGACGTCAAAGGGTGGCGCTTGAGGCGCTGGTGGTGGCGACGGGCACATGCCGTTCATGACTATCACGTTGACAAAATCATGGTTGAACTTTGGCACCCAGTCAAGCATCAGCCTCTTCCTCAGCTCAGTGTTAGTAAACCCAGCCAATGCGATGGATGACTCAACACGAATAACACCTGTTCAAAATTAAAAATGTAAGGGCTGATTCATGTCAAGCTTCACACTAGAAGACAGTTCTGGGACCTCTGCAAGGTGCTTCCCGCAGGGACCATGAATGTCAACCAGCCACACTGGCTGCTTTACTAGACCGCCAACCAGAAGCGCCACAGTTTGCGAAGCGACCTTCCCAGTCTTGCCTCAATAGACAATTGAACCAAGTCTTTGTCATTGAATTCATTAAATTATTTTTAAACAACCTCTACGTCAATTAGGCTAAGGTGAAAAAACATAAACGTTGCAGTCAGCCAGCCACATGTTGGCCAAGGAGCATGTCAGGCACAGCCACCAAGGCTTGGTGTCAGCCCGACCCATTCCTGCCGATGCAATCGCCGTCAAGCCACACAGGACTCCAGCGCAAGCAGGCTTCCGGGCCAAGGGGTCAGACAGGACGTCAAGCAGGCACTCCGGTTCCGTCGGGCTACCTGCAGTCAGGGAGAGGAGCTCAAAGGCTACATAGTCAGGTGCGGTGCCAAAATGGCCTAAGAGTCATGCCACAAACACTATTTAAAAATTGTTAAACACGTTAAGTCAAGGAACCATAGGAGCCGTCCAGCTTGGGATTCTGGAGAAATCCTGCCACACTGTCGCTGTCAGGCCAGATCGCCTCCATGTCGTGTGTGAGAAGGACCGCCCTGCAGTCAGACGCTTCTTGCGCAATCCGTTGTGGCATCACCATCAATCCGCGAGAACCTCAATGGAGCGTTTCAGTGAGGCAATTAAGAAACTGCACATCTTCACCGACCTGGTCTGGCCCACCAAAAAAAGAGTTGAAAGGATGACTTGAATGTTCAACAGGCCACCGTCTCCATCCACTGTTGTGCTGTAGATGGCGTCAGTCCCATAGGAAATGATGAGTCCTTCTGGCCAGTCCTCACGAGTCCACATCACAGACTCAGCCGCATCGATGCCAGAGACCTCCTCCATGTCAGGCCACGTGTCAGGCCACGTGTCAGGCACCGCGAACTGGACAGTGTGTTTTTGGGAAGGGGAGTCTGTGAAGTAAGCAGTCGGTCGATATGTGAGTGAGTCAGTCAGTCCGATATGTGAGTGAGTCACTCAGTCCGATATCATGGAATGCATGCGATGTCCTGAGCCTGACAGACCTGAGCCAAAAGTTACAAAATCATGTCAGACATGAACACTCATGACGTCAATGACATGAACCTGTCAACCACCTCCTCCTCCCACCAAGCACGCCTGTCAATCACCACAATGGGGATGAAGTTGTTGAAGTCAATCTGGAAGGATCAACTCCCTCCAGTCTACCTGGCAAGTCAGGCGGGTGAACCCATCAAGGGACCATGGGGCTGCTACCGCATATCAATACTTCCGATTCCACTTTCATGTTACATACTAGAGCGCTCTAGTCAGACTCGAGTCACACCGGGCAATGTCGCCTGTCTCGTCGTACTTGTCAAGCTCTTCCGGCTCTTCCATGATCGGCAAGTCAGGCTATGACGAAGTATGACACTGAAGTGAATGGAAGTGATGACAGTCCAAGTCAGACAGTGACAATATAGCCCATGAGATATTATAATTAACTTCAGAATGATTTCAGAATGGGAAGAACGCTTATCATATGAACAGTGGTTTGAGTATGAACCATGAGAGTATGAAGGTGAAGGGTGGTTTGAGTCAGACAGTAAGTTTGAGCCAGTCTAGTCAGTCCAGTGGTGGTCAGTCCATAGTTTAACTATTAAACTTATTATATCATATAAGCCCAGCACTAGCCCAAAAAAGCAAAAAATAAAAAATGTCCGAAAGGCCAACCCAGGACCTATATATATATCCTCCATACTTATTCCCGCGGTAAGCAATGGAAGGTTACAAAAGAACGACCCAAAGCGTCTGATCAACGATGCCAGGCATCCGTGACAGCAGTCGACAACCGCGCCCATTTCAAGACGTGCGAAAGCTCTTCCATCTGTTGCAAAGCATCGGCATTCTTCCAAGCTGTTACAAGACCGATGTTCTTGTCAAAAATCAACTTCTGGAGATTCCTGACCAAGGAAGAAACGCGACAAGGATTTCCATGGAATCCCATGCGAGTCCCAGGACTCAAAAAGCATTATCGTTCCTTACAAATTCCTGACCAAATAAACATCAGCTGTTTGGAAAAACACTGTCCATTCCTGGTTGGAACCCACAAATGCATTTCAATGCATTATACAGATACAGTACACATTGACAGCTCCAGTATGGTTCAAGGAAGGCCAACCGGAAACAACCACAGGTCTTGAGGCAGCTCTCAGGAACCCTAGCAGCCCTAGCAACTTGCTCCAAATCCCGGAACAAATCCCATCCGGAAGACTTCAACTTCACCCACTCCTGTTGAAGCTGGCATAGCCGACATCCGCGCGGATCTTCGAGAGGATCGCCTCAACATCCTCCGGACGGCTCGCAGTCATCTCCTCCACCTGTGGCGCTGGAGAAGAAACGAAAATCGCTCTTGCCTCCTGCTTCAAATGAGCATAAACCTCCGACAGGCTACCTCATCTATCCTCAGTATTCGTATGTAACAAATATGAGTGACATGGCTTATACGCGGTGTATGCAACGACAGCCTCTCGAGCAGCCATTTGTTTCAGAGGCCAGTCCTTGAGGTTTTCCAAGCTTCTCTGACGCTCCAGCAGCACGGCCTGCAACGATATAGAGACCGATCTATCTCTCGTGCTTAAACTCGCAGGGCACTGACCACTCCCAGTCCGAAAACTCAAGAACTAACCTGTAGCTAAACCAGCCAAGACTGTGTCCTAAAGAAACCTGAGGAGCCCGAGGGGTGACTTCTGGGTTCAATGTGCTTGTCTGGGGCACGCTCACCAGACCAGACCTGCTCAAACCGCCGAAACAGTCCAGCGTGGTCGACCGGAAACGACTCAGCAAGTCACCACCCAGTCAGTTGACCATCCCTGTGATCTCTTTACTCCCTGGAAGATTAGCATGGAACCTGAAAACCACTGGTTTGTGAAGGACGCTAGTCTTCCGAAGGTTTTCAGGTTCCATATAAATCTTCCCGGGTGTATTTCAAATCTTTGATGCGTTTGATGTCATCTTGGAAGAAGAAGTGCAAACAGCACTTATCTCACCGCCATCCCCCACTCCACCATCAATATCCCAGAAATAAAACAAGAACCAGTCTCTACCTACACCATGATAGGAACACAAAAACAAAACCAAGAAACGGCCGGCCTTGTTCCGCAGCTTCAAGCTCTGCGCCATGCCCATCCGTTGCCCCTCCGCCAGCTCCGCGATGCACCAGGCGCGTCCAAAGAGCTCCAGCGACGCGTCCACGGCCACGACCTCTGCGAAGGATTCATCGCAGCTGGAGAGGTAGGCCATCATGTCCTCAGAGTTGCTGCTGGTTGGTGCTGGCACATGGTGTTAGAGAAATCACCCAATGTCGCATCCATGGTTGATGGTTCTTGGGTGTTGGACTATGTTTCATCTCCATGCTTTCAGCATGCCTAAAATGGTTCCTGAACATGTTCCTCCCCACCAAAGCTGGTGATTGATTGACTTCCCTTTTAAGTGAGTTCCATCTACCCCCCACCAGAAGACAACTCTACTCTCGGAGGGGTGGAGGTTCCTTTTCGCAGGGAAGCTTTGGGCGATTTGGATGAAACCTTCAAAACATGGCCACAAAGATTTTGCAGCATGCTAGACTATTATAGACAAGGGCAACACCATCTAAATTCTCAGCCGGGTGTCATCAAACTTGTTCATCTCACAAGGAATGCTCTCTCCAGCATCATTCAAAGGAGGTGTGTCGTTGAAGGCTTTGGGCAAGCTGCATGAACAAATGGGGTGTGGAAGCTGCGTGGCAGGGTCGACATCTCCACGTGGATTAGCGCCACAAATTCCACTGTGTTGGTTAATGGCAAAGGCACATATCCAGTAGGTCTCATCGATACTCCCTTGTGCTTGCAACAGTTCCTCCACTACGTGGACACCAGCGTCATCTGACAGCAGCTCTGCAATGGGCTCAAATGTGTGTTCATCCAGCGCATCGGCCACCACACTAGCCAGCAAGTCACGGAAGAGGTTGGACCAGGTATGGGTGACCATCTTTCCTCAATGTGTGGATTATCCAGCAGATTGGTGGGAAAACGAGATTCATTGCGATCAATCTGCTGTCCATACGTGGACAGGGTCTAATGCGTTACATACGAGAAGTGAACCTATGGAATGGATGTTGCTCTATCTTCTCCAAAAGAGCATAATACAGATTAATACAGTATTTTAAAAAATGCTAGAAGCAAAGCAGTGGTTCGGGGCGTTACACCTTCAGCTCCGTTCACAACTTGGGCATAGGAGCTACAAGAAGTTGAAGTCATGGGGATGATTGCCAGTCTCACCACATCATTGGTTGTATGAAGGTCAGGCTGATATGAAGGCATCACATCCTTCCCCAACATCCTGTAGAAGTCCAACAAATCCCGCAGCCGCAGACCGCGGCGAGCGAGGTCCTTGGTCTTGGTTTCCCAGTGAGGATCTTGTGGCCACTTTTTCGGCAACCGAAAGCACTTCGGTTGGCATGTGCAGGTGCAAATCGTGGGATATGGGAGTGGTTCCGAGCTCTGCCACATCAGTCGATACCCCCTAGAAAAGAGGAACACGCCAACGGTGTTGAGAAGGAGGTTGACACATTGAGCGATTACTATAGATGTGATCAGCTTTTCGTCGTGTCTACCCCCAACAAGCAGTGCTGCAAAAAGGCCAACGATGGTCCCCGTCGACAACAATGTCACAGCCATGCCAAAGCCTTGGAGTAAGGCTCGTTGGCGACTTCGGCGCAAGGCCTTGGGCCAGCTGCTTGGAGTCCCGACTTTCTGCCGTTCAACCCTCTCGGCGGCCTGGAGCCTTCGATCGACGCTGTACAAGGTGATGAACACTAGCAGCACCCATGTGAGAAAGAGAAAAGGGATTAGAATCCAGGCGGCCTCCAACACAATTGCAAACACAACGGCCTTTGACACCTCTGCTTCTAAGTCTGAGCTTTGAGCACAAACAGCACAAAAGCCAATAGATCCAACCATCAGCAAGACTGCTTCAGCCTGCAACATTCTCGGCAAGCAGCTTGCAAGCCGTGGCTGATTCAGCGCGGGCCAAATGCTCTGAAAACGATGCTGGATTAGCCCTTGTAGCAATAGTAATTCAGCAAATTGACCCAGCAGTCTCAGAGCTGTCCAAACGAAAAAGTGATATGAGTCACGCGAGAGAACAGAGCTGGCGATGCTCAACGAAAACAAACCTTCAAACCAATTGAGGACCAGGAATCGTGATGCTTTCAGGATGTGTGCTGTGGAGGCGTTCCACCACAACCACATTGCTCCCAAACCCGTTATGCCTGTAGACACAATCATAATGCAAAACAGGGCGGCGTGCGCTTTCAAGAGCTTGTCGTATACACGAGCAACACCAATATCCCGATCCCAGAGAGCAGCCGCTGTGCTCAGAAAAACGATGCTGAATGCTATAATATATCTCATCAATGTCCAACACAGACTCTGGGGAAGTAGGGCAACCCATCCTTTGGCTTGGGGACTTGAGTTCAGTTCGTCGCTCCGAGTACTTTCACTGAACTCACTGCTCATGGCGCAGCGGGCAGCGGCTATCTGGCCGAAGTCACTTGTTCTACTTGAAACAGAAACGCAACGCCTAGGCAGCACCTATGAAACTTGGCAAACCATCTTTGCTAGTCTCAATTTCCCTGTTGCAAACCATTTTTGCCAAGCACAGCACTGTGATTGCGGTGGCTTTGGGATTTTCGGGGTGATTGTTGCTTTGCTTTGCTTGACGCTCTTCCTCCAGCCCAAAAGCCGCACGCAACGGCTAAGTGCGAAAGAGCGAAAGGTGAACATCTCCGCGAGAAGATCAGGACATGCTGTCCAACATGTTCCAACCCAAGCATGGGATGTGTGCTCCTTTTGGAAAAAAATGACATGAATTTAGATGGGAAGGTTCCTCTATCATGGGGGAACCCCTTCCGCCAGTCCCTGGCCCCGGATGGGGTCCGTTTCGGTCGTTGATATGTTTTCAAGCTCAAACTTGGAGGTGAATCAAGAGCAGCTTGACTGTCCAGGACACTTACATTCACATTTTTACAATGCAAAGCCACTCTTGTGGGTGCATTTGGACCTGACACACACACATATCACACACATATAAGATACATATATACATATCATTACATATCATCATCATTACATATCATACATATCATTAATATATATATATATATAAATATATACATATCATTGCATATCAATGATCGGTGGTTGAACAAACAATGCAGAACAGCTTACAGTCGTGAGATGTGTGGATGTATGAGTTATTTTTAAGCAGCCAATCACAGTCCTGTTTTCCATGCAATAACATGTGATAAAATTCTTTGTGATCCCTTGTGAAGGCTTCAGCTTGCTAAGCTAATCTTTGAGCACGAGGCCAGTAATCCTGCGGCTTACAAGTTTGCTTCAAGCAGTAAGATGAGATGATGAGACGAAACGACATGTCGCTTTTGCACCAACCATACCAAACCAGCATACTGGTCTGAAGCACCTGTTTTGGGGGGACACCAGTTTGGCTTGACCAATGCTGGCCCTTGACTTGTGAACCCCCAAAAAATGCCTCACGGTCATTCTTCAACAAAGACTGTATAAGGTGCCGAACGTTCAGCAATGCCAACGGGCCCAAGGGAATAATCTATGAAACTGGGAGATGCTGCTACTCTCATCAATGTGATGGCGCCCTCACAATTCCTTCCGCAAGGCTTTGAATTGATTGTGACAGGCAGATAGCCAGCACGAGGAAAAGACACATATCAGGGTGGGGTAAATGGGTGGATATCCACTTTCAGGCCAACGATTCCCTCATCTCCACATTTTTTCGGCAATGATGCAAAGCCACTTGTTTGATGTGGACAGTCATAGGTCATATAGGTCAGGCTGTCAACTAGTGAGCCAGCCCGGTCAGTCAGTCAGTTGTTCCCCACCTGCCAGGTGAGGGTTGTTAGATTTTATCACAGTTGTTCTTCCTCCTCCTTCCTTCCTCCTTCCTCCTTGCTTCCTTCCTCGCCAATCTTCATCGCCAATCTGCTTCGCCAATCTGCTTCGCCGATCTTGTCTGGCCAGCTCCGGATCGCAGTGTGCACCCCTGGACCTCAACCGCAAGGATCCCCTCGCAGTGTGCAGCCCTGGACCTCAACCGCAAGGATCCCCTCGCATGTGCACCCCTGGACCTCAACCGCAAGGATCCGATCGCAGTGTGCATCCCTGGACCTCAACCGCAAGGATCCGATCGCAGTGTGCATCCCTGGACCTCAACCGCAAGGATCCGATCGCAGTGTGCACCGCTGGACC